GGCCAAGTGCCCCGGCCGTGGTCGCCCCCAGGGTACCGGCCCCTTCCTTGGCCAGATCAACAGCCGTGGCCTCCACCGCGGCCCCATCATCAATCGTGGCCCCAGCTCCCAGGGTGACGCCTGTGGTGGGGGGTCGCAAGACGCTAGCTCATAGGACCGTGCCGGCCTCCCCAACATCTCGACCGTCCACTGCTGCTGGTAGGCCTTGCTTCTTTTCCTTTTTATTATTTATTCTTCATCGGCCTCTCTAAACCACTTCTGTCTCTGGTCATCTCACTCTTGTCCCTTTTCCCTGTATACGCAGCCCTGGGTCGCAAGAGGAGTCGAGAGACGGCGGGTATCGAGGCCGTGCCGGCCCAGAGTGCCGCGGCCGAAAGGGCGGCCGTGCAGCGGCCGAGGAAGAGGACCCTTTTTACCTCCTCGGAGGGCAGAGGTGAAGAGGAGGCTCCCTTCGCGACTGTGAGTGAGGCCCTCCCCGTGATCGTAAGTACCACTCCCTGGCACTCCTTTTTTTTTCATTTTTGTGCATTCTAGTAATCTGGTTCTTTCCTCAGGACGTGGTAATAGTCGAGGAGGAGGCCACGGTCGAGGTGCCGTCCATGATGGAAACAGCTGCTGCCCTCATGGTGGCCGAGGAAGTGGGAGGGGCAACGGTTGAGGAGGCGGCCGCTGCCGATGAAGGGGCCGAGGCGCAAGATGTTGAGATGGCGCCCGCAGAGGTGCCGTCCGCCGAGGAGGCTGCAGAGGGGGCGACCGAAGAGATCGCCGAGGAAATCGCCGAAGAGGCCCCCGAGGGATCTGCCGAAGAGGCCGCCGAGGGATCTGCCGAAGAGGCTGCTGACGAGGGCGGCGAGGAGGCCAATGAAGAGGCCGCCGAGGAAGTAACCGACGAGGCCGCTGAAGAACCTGCTGTGGACGTGCCAAGTGGGCCTTTGACGTCCGCCCCTCGTCGCCCAAGCGGCATCTCCTTTCGCTCGGTAAGAATCCACTCAATATACTCGGCTTTCTTGTTTTCTTTTGATCTGTTCTATACTTCTGACCGAGCTGTTTGTCTCTAGCCTCCCCAATCGTCGCCGCCGCTGGCCATGGTTGCCGCTACCATGCCGCCTATGCCGCCGCTCCAGGACTCAACGGTCGTGGCCGAGCCAGTGATGACTAGAGCCACGGTCGTGAGTGTGCCGAGCCTCCTGCGGACTACTTCGGCGGTGATGACCGACCTTTCGCTCCCCGTGAGTACTCGACCTCCTTTTTGTTTATTCCTTTACATCCTAGTCAACTATCTCTTGCCGAGTCTCCTGCGGACTACCTCGGCGGTGATGACCGTCCTTTCGCTCCCCGTGAGTATCCGACCTCCTTTTCGTTTGTTCTTTTATATCTTAGTTAACTATATCTTACCCTTGCTCCCTCCTATGTTCAGGAAGCCACCTCGTCTGATGATCTCGAGGAGCTATACGCCAGCCTCCATGAGGAAGGGGGAAGCTCGGCCTCGGCTCCTTTGGACGAGGATTCCAAGACCGTCATCGAACAGCTCCGGGAGTTCCTTCTCCTTGACGTTCGGCCGAGGGGATGGCCGAGGGGAGCTCGCTCGAACAGGATCTGGAGGTGATTAAAGAACAAGTTAATCCTGCAATGGCTCGACTGAAAGAAAACGACCTCGTCGTCCAACGAGAAAATGAAGAGCTTGCGCAGGTTGAGGCCCAGATTACCGAGCTCCAGGCTCGCCGAGATCTTATCCTCCAACGCCGAGATGGCGCGGTCGCGGCCGGGAGCGAGTTGAAATCCTCGGCCAAGCGAATCCTCAAAGCAGCTACTGAGACGAAGAAGGCCCTGGCCGAGCGGAAACTGATTCTAGCGAGATGGCAGACGGACATCAATGGTGGGGACATCGCTTGGAGAAGGATCACCTGCCTGATCTGGGGGATGTTCAGCGAAGGGGTTTAAGCGGGTGAAAAAAGCGGCCACCTCAACTTTTTTTCTTTTCTCTTTTTTGGGATGTAAACAAATAACTACATACAATTTTAAATTATTTACACATAGTTTTATCTCTTGTTTTATTTCGGCCGTAGCTGGCCGTTCTCTGTTTGTAAGTAATGCCCCCTTTTTTGTTCAAATACAAGGGCCTTTTTTTTCTGAAAAGCTAGATGTAAATTGTTGTTTTATTTTAACCGCGCCATTCGCTTACCTTGGCCGCCTACCTTCCTCTTTTCTTCTTTTTGACTTTTTTGTCGTAGGTCCTCGGCGCCATCTTTTTTTCAATTTGCGCCGAGTTGTAGGCGTCGAGTTCCGACTGTTCTAAATTCTCTGAACTCCTTGGCCTCATCTGCGAGTGGCCCTTCTTCTCTTGGCCACGCTGCCCGATACTTTGAGGAAATAGAA